AGGGAACGGGTGAGAGTCACTCGTTCTGCTTGTACGTCTTGCACTGAAGCAGGCTATGAGGACCAAGGCAGAACATGCAAACGTGGGCACCTCTCTTGCAAGCCTGACCTGCCTTGGCGAAGCTGCAACTCTTAGATAGGTTCCAGTTCCAACAAATCCTGGAGCCATCGGCGGTGTTATGCTTGAGGTTGCTGTCTTGCAACTCAGAAGGAGCTTTGCCACTCCCTTTGGCTTGACCTTGATGCTTCAAATCTCCTTCAGGGGTTCGCTTTTTCCCACCCCCTCGGCCACGACCCCTGCCTCGGCCCCTCCAAGGAGCAGGAGGCTGATCCTCCTCGGTGTTGGCGTTCTTGAGGAAACTCTTGCCCTGCAGTGGCTGAAGGAAGTACGTCACATGTGGGTCGATCTGAAGGCGGGGGAAGGCAAGGTCAAGAGGCAGCTGACCTGCCGGGTCACGCTTGAGGCTCGGTACCTCTTCTGCCAACCTAATCCATGCCTGGCGGTCGGCACGGAGAACTTGTTCCATAGACGTGGGTCTATAGTTCGGCGGCGGAGGCGTGGACAACTTGTTGAGTAAGTATCGGTGCCAACGCTCCATAACCGAAAAGGTGCACACTTGAAGCAGGTCGCATGCTAGGGCACGCCTTGTCATGGCTTCGGCAAGCTGCAACTCGTTCTGTATCTGACATCGATCCTTGGTCCTGCGATCACGAATGGACAGCTTCGCAGATTCATCAAGAATGACCTCTTTCCCAGGTTTCTCCCGAGAAATTTCTTGGGAGCGGGGAATGAAACGGTGTAGCTCCAACCACTGAGGGTGATCATGTTCTACCATCGCTGACACGTAAACGTAGTTCGAGTATGCGTTTTCTAGAGGTCCTGTCAAGTACGCTTCTGCGCAGCGATACGCTGAGCCCGTTCAGCGGGCGCCAACTCAACTTTGGGCTCACCGTCAGTTTCGATGCTGGCCTTGATCTGCGCTATGCACAAAGTCTGGGCCTCAAAGGTCAGTCTCCGAATGGAAGCTAAAGCCTGCAAAGATACGGCATCTGGACTGGAAGAGTCCAACAACTCCCGCAATGCCAACTCGGAAGGAGTGACGCCTGGCGTCGTCAGAACATACGCCAAGGTGGCAAGAGTATCTATGCCCTTGCCTTCCAGCACAGCTAACTGAGAATCCAGCAGGCCACACTCTTGAGCCTTTTCCTTGAAAGCCGCCGAGCTCTTGAGGAGGTTGGCCATTTCCTACACTGACCCCCACTACGCTCCAGCCAAGACTGCGTACACACAGAGGCCTGGCAGCATACCCAGGATCCTGCAAGTGCCGAGTGTCCCGCAAGCTCGGCCTGGGTCTCCAGCAAGAGAATCCCGCAAGAGTTTGCATGTCAGCTGACCATCCGGCATTGGTCACACTGACAACCGCCCGCAAGCCGTCACACATGAACACATGTCCCTGATTAGCTCATGTCCAGCAGGATACAGAGACTTTCAGACACAATTCAGCCTGAAGTTCAAGCATGTTCCTGCAATCAATCCGGCAATTCGTGCATGGTCTCGAAGCCATGAACACAAAACTTGATTAGCAAATGTCCAGCAGGATGATGAGTCTTCAGACACACTTCGCCTGAAGTTGAAGCATGTTCCTGCACTTAATCCGGCAATTCGTGCAGGGTCAAACAAACTTGAACACGAATGTCTAACCATCTCACGAATATGTCCTCGCCCTGACAAACGAGACGAAGCTCAAAAACCAAGCCAGCAGCGCCAACATCAAATCCACACCTCTAAGACCAGCACGCCCATCCATTTTTCCTTCGTGTTGACACGCTCCGCAAATCATTTAGGAGCCATGGCGATTTCCAGGGCTCTCAACAGGGAGCCTCGATCCCTGATCGGTCGGCCCGCAAGACACTGTTTACAAAACCACTTCTCGGAACAAATCTTGGTGCGGAAGGCTACGTGATCTGCAGATTTAGCCCTACCGCAAACGAAAACTTCACTTGAGGCCCCGGCCGGCAAGAAGTGTAGTGTCTTCGTCTTGGGATGTTGAAAAATCAGCCTTCCCTCGACGATGGCTTGTTCAAAAGAAGAGGGATCACCACTCCCATCACGGAGCTCCTGATCTTGAGCATCACTGTCCTCAGATGAAGAAGACGAACTGGAGCTTGAGCTGCTGTCCTCATTGGAGCCCGGCTCAGAAAGTGCCCTGCCAGCTTCTTGAACAGCAACAGACTCGGTCTCACCCTCTGAAGCGCCCAGCCCAGGAGGCTCAGGTGGAAAACTGAAGGAGTCCTCCAAGTCTTTCGAGCTCCCCTCCCAACTCAAATCGAGGGGGGGATCGTGAGGAGCAGCACCTGCGTTACGGTACCAATCAGCCTCGAGGTCAACACCAGCTTCAGCCTGGCCTTGGCTTGACGACACTTGTCCAGACCTAGTGAGGTCTGGTCTGAAGGATCCTTTCCGCACCTGTAGCAGCACACCCTCCATCTCACGAATTGGTGCGGCCTGTGCATCGCGTGCATACACAAGCGGCGTTCGCTCCTTGCCCAAGGAATGATGTCCCAGGATAGCCTGAGTATGAATCGACAAACCAAACTTGGAAGTCCAGGACAGCACGGTACGCTTGGCGCTGTGGCCACTGAAGGCTTCAATACACTGGAGCCCGGTCTCCTTAAGGATGGCCTCAACCCATTGTGCAAATTTTGCATTAGACATCTCCCTGCCTGACCAGCCACCCACCATTAGCGGTGACTGAATCATGGGTTGTCCTGGGAGCATGTCCTGAAAGCGATGGGCCGACTCTTCGCAAGCCTGAAGCCAAGCAGGGCCCCAAGGGCGATCTGTAATTCCTTGCACGGGAGCAATCAAAGGCAGCTCAAACCCGAGCGCATTGC